ATGTTTTTAAGGTGGTCTATGTTTACTTATAACTTGATAGAATTACACCTAATAGTCAATTCGTGACATCCGTACAGGTAATTCCCGCGAAAATCGTCTCGGTTGATTGCATACGCGCCATAAGGCTGTCAATCAAGAGGTAAACTTTTACTTCCGGCGAAAACGTAAAACCGCCATTTCTCCGCCAATAGTCTTTTTCAAATTATTTTTTCAGAAATTAGAGATTATTCTTCGACCACTTCTTTGACCCAAACATCCAAATTTGAAGAAAATTGCCGACCTGAACGTATACTGTAACCTTAACTTGACCCGCGCAGAGTGATCTTTGAGAAAAATACAAGTGCTGGATCGGCTTGAATGGTTAAAAAGAGGGAACATAGACTTAAATAAAACGATTAGGTTATGTTAATAGATCTTGCGGTAACTACTTAATTTATCGACCTGGTTTCTTTCATATCTTCACCCAACACAGGCCTCCTGCGTCGATGTTTCCCGTGAGCACAAACAAACGAAGAGCGGAGAGTGTCATCCAGGATACAAGGGGAAACAATGTGAAAAACGTAATTAGTGAAAATTTGTCTTGCGACGATATTTTGTATAATTTGATAAAGCATTTTGAATTTTGCTTCAAAAGGTTCCCTCGTACTGCGCAGTGTTTGTAAGATTATTATTTTAGAGTAAATTTAGTGATGTTTGCGGAACTTTAAGAATGATTTCCCTTTTGCTTCAAAAGAGCATAAAGAGTCTTATTTAAAACAAAACATTTAAAACACGTTCTGTTTCTCGTAGCTATAAAAGGTTTGTATGCCAATCAGGCTGGTCATTCCTGTAAGGACATCCGGGACTCAGGAGACTCCAAAGGAGACGGCGAGTACTGGATCGACCCTGAGAAGAGTGGAAACCCTTTCAAGGTTTACTGTGACATGACAACTGACGGAGGTAAGTTAACGATAAAATGATATGAAAGGCCAAACCTTCTAAAATTCTAGGAAGATGTGCACAAAGCCCCCACAGCTTCCCGCTCTACTTAACAAAATGAGACCAGCTTTTTGTGCGTCTGTCTTCTCATTGCTGATAAATTGGGTCGAAACATTGTCAAAGTATCTGTGGATCCACGAGGCTTTGTCGAGAAAGAAAACAAAAGACGAACTGAAATAAAAAAGAAAAAAAAAAGAAAACGCTAGGTTAAAGTGCGAGAGAACCTGAATTTCGTTTAGCCAAAATGATTTCGAAACCCCCGCGAGACGTCGATAACTCTTTAAACATGCAATAAGTCGTAACTAAATTTCAAAAATGGAAATTTGTAACTAAGCTATACTCCATCTGGAAATTCTTGAAAACCCGCTGAATTATCGCCGAGTCCGGTCCACTCGCATCAGATCAGTTCTCAGAATACAACAAAATAATTATTCCACTCATCGAGATCCACGTCAAAATTTGACAAATACATGTTTCTCTGCGGCCTTACCGTTGAATTCAATCTGAAGAAAACGTCATCTTAAACTAAGCTCCAATTTATATGCAATTTGTCGGTTATAATCGAGAAATAACAGCATTAAACACGCTGTGAAAGTTTGGTAAAATTGTGAAGGTCCACGCGTGATGGCGTCATGTGACTGTCTGTGCTCTTATTGACCATAAAAACTAGTCAAAGAGCGTTCAACAATTGGATGATTTTCTCTTTTAAAAAAAATTCCGTCAAGATCTGATTTGTCCGTTACACAAGGAACATTTAACATGCTGTGAAAGTTTCACGATCCACGCTTTATTGTTTGATGTAATTAACGATGAAAACGTCACGACAAATATGACCTCTATTGTGCAGCAGTTTTAGAGCATTTGCACCTACTAACCTTTTTGTTGTTGTCGTTTTTTTCTTTTCGTGATAAAAGCGAATACAGTCCTCAACTGCTTTGATTTCCTCACGTGACCACTGAACTTCGTTTCATTTTAGGAGGTTGGCTTCTTGTCTCCAACGTTGTGATTATTAGTTCTTCGTCCCCACAAATGTCAGTAAAGACGTCATACCGTGAAATCAGCAGTTACCATAACAACCAGACTTTTCTGACCAAGAGTGCCATGAATGAGCTCAAAACACACATGCCTTTCACTCAACTGAGATTCCACTGCAGTAAACAACAGGGACGTACGTTCCACGTGACCACGGTCGCTAACAGCATTGGTGAAGCTGTAGTCCAGTACTTCAGCGGTCAGACGGATGTCCAGCCTGATGCCTGTGGCTCGTTTGTTAGAATGGAGACCGACAACTCGGGATTGGCAGGCGTTTGCGATGATTGGGGATATAATGGTGCGAGCCATTACGTCGGCAAATGGGGGCATGCTGAAGATCAAGATAGATTGTACTATGCCAGTGCTTTTGTAGCGTCTTTATATCACTGGCTGCTGGATCCAGATGGCTCAAGATGGGAATGTGATGACTATCTCGTTGGAGTGTCTCCTGGTGATTTCTGGAAAGTCTTTGTTCGTTAAGATCCTGGTCCACCGATTGCTTATAGCTGGACAAACGTATTTATCTAATCTTCGATACATGCAAAAATAACAAATTTAAGTTAAATAAAGGACCTTAAGGTCATTCCACTGAAATAGAACCGGCACTGAGATTTTTGTCAAACTTTGGCTACTGACTGTTCATATTGTAGGAACTTAAATTTGGAAATAAAAATGAGGGGTCCCCATGTTCGTTTAGGAGCAACAGCACCTTGTTTGTACCATATAAATCCTTACAATAGCACCATGATTATAGTCACGATTGCTTGCTAAAATCACGTTTCCGACAATTGTTTCTTGCTCGACACTGAGAATTTGCCCATTTTTATTTTACATAGAGAAATTTATTACTCAATTCAACGCAACATAAAAAAATTATAGGTCACCGTACTCGTTTTCGAGAAAATGACGATTTAACTCTACGGCGAGGTCCAGCCGCAAAAAAAAAGCCGCCATTTTTTAATGCACGCGCGCTAATTACGCGTGAAATTATGCGCAGTAGGGATGCGCAATGCAATACTGGGAAGTGACCTTAGGGACCTTTTAGACAGTTATCAGCTTCTATAGAACGTCTATAAACGCAGGAAGTAACACCATCGTTAGAAAATCGAAAATGAAAACCCGATCGAAAATCCAATAAACAATGTGTAGCTCAACAATAAAATAAAACAAAACAATTGTTTTATGGACAAATTAAATGTTCATTATAGAGGGATTTGCTAAAAACTCTAAATAAACCAACGTTAGCTGAGCAGCGAGCTCGCAACATCGCTGCCTCGATTTTTAGAACAATCAAGGGTCCTAGCCCCGCCTGCTTGCGTGACCTAATACAACTTAGGAATTCGTCTTATAACTTAGAGAGACACGCACCGTTACTATAGCTAACTATGCCTATGTCCATATCTATTATAAAATAAAAGGTTGTAAAATAAAATGCTTTGATGTTCTATGATCTTTTTTTTTTTT